GCTGACGTGTGCATGAAGCACGCCCTTGGCAAGTGCTCCAATCCCAACTGCAAGTATGCCCATGTGTGCCCCGTCATGCTTCCGTCCGGTAAGCCATGCGGTCAGCCTCACAGTGCCCTTAACCATGCCGCCGCCCCGCATTGACTACCTCCGGCGCTGCCGCCGGTGGCCATGTCTCATTCATCCGCCACCCCCGGCGTGGCGCCACCATCATCAAATGCGGTTCCCCAAGTTCTCTCTAAGGCCGCTCCGCCCGGGGCTCCCTCCGAGTGTTTAGTGTTCCCCCGGCCCGTCTCTTCCTGGACTTGTTCGCTGGAGCGGCTTCCCCGGTCACCCAATCGATGGTGGCACTTGGTCGCATGTGCTTTCAGCCAGTGGACTTACTCTCGGGCGAACGCATAGACATTTTGCATGATGCCACCTTCGCGTCCTTGCGCCGCCTGTGTGCATCTGGTTTGGTGGGTGCAGCGGCCGCTGCCCCGCCCTGCTCAGCTTTTTCCCGTGCGCGCCTTCGTCCCGGCGGCCCTCCCCCCATCCGCACGGTATCTCATCCGCGCGGCAAGGACGTGCTTTCCCCGGCTCAAACATCCGAACTGGCCACCTCATCTCTTCTTCATGTCCGATGCAGAGAGTTGCTGGCCCTTGTCGCTGCCCGCGGGGGCTTGGTTTGGCTGGAAAACCCTACATCCAGTACCTCTGGCTGGACCCTCAGGTCATGGCTTGGTGCCGCACGCACATACAGCGGCTGCCTGTGTTCATTCCGTCCCTGCTCATAAAGCCTGGACTTTTATGTGCAATCACGATTCCATTGCATCCGTGGCCTCTGTTTGCCCCCATCCCCTCGGCCTTCAACCCGCGTTGTCTGGCCGCCGTGGTCCTGACCAGGCCTTTCTCACGCGCCAGACTGCACACTACCCAGCCTCACTGGCTTCTCTTCTTGCGTCCGTGGCCGCCCCCTTTGTGGACAAAGGCGCTGCAAACCACTCCGTCCGCAACTGGACTTGCTTCCTTCCTTCTCTTCCCTGCTGGTCCTCCCCCACCGGCCGGGTGGAAGATGGCGCCGGCATCTGCAGCTCCGCCACACAATTCCCCCCTACTCAGTCCGACGCACTTGGTGCTCTGCGTAAGGCATGGGCCAAACGGCTCCTGGACTCTGGTCTTCATCAACACATTGCCTCCCGCCTGCTGTCCGGGTCCAAAACGGACCCCTTGTCCGAGGCTGAGCTTGCTCCTTTTCTTGCCGATCTTCGTGCTTTCCTCCACGTGGATTCCGACCCCACCTGGACTTCCCTGTTACATGTTCTTGACGGTCAACCATTCCGTCTCAACTTGTGGCATTGCCTATCTCTTCTTTGTTCCGACCCAGACGCTGATTTCTTCCATGTCCTCCGCGAAGGTGTCCCTCTGGGTATTGGCACGGCTATTCCGGCCTGCCCTGTCATGCACCCACCTGCTCCGCCCGACGCTCTCCGCTTGCCCTTGGAACATTGTGAATCCGCGTGGAAATCTGCCTTGGACCACGCGGACACCGTCGACTCTCTGCTGCAAGCGGAGCTGGAGGCCGGCTGGATCCGTGAAATCCCCGCTGGTGATGCACAACTCCGCCGGGACTACAAGCACACTGCGGTTGGCAAGCTGGGCTTGGTCTTAGCGCCCGGCCGCCCGCCTCGCCTCGTTGTGGACTCCTCCGTCTCGGGTGTCACTTCCAATACTCATCTCCCTAACCGTTCTGCCAACCCGTCCCTCATGGACGTCCGTCGCTCCGTCCCGGTCTCTGACTCTCTGGACCAACTGGTTGCACTAGTGCTTGACGTGGCCAAGGCCCACCGTCGTATGCTTATTCGCCCGTCCGACCGGGGCCTCCTTTGCTTCCGCCACGCTGGCCGCCTGTACCAAAGTGTCACTCTGAATTTCGGGGCTCGCGTCTCCAGCTTCTTCTGGGCGCGCTGCGCCGGCTTGCTGGTTAGACTTCTTAAACGTTTGCTTCGCATCCGCCGTTCCTCCTGGATTTATGTCGATGACATCTTGGCGTTGTTCAACCGCGTCTCCGCCCCACTCTGGGCATCCGTCGCCGTGGTTTTGCTGCTTTGCCTCAAGGTTCCCATGAGTTGGCATAAAGGCACTCTGGCCCCCACGGTTGTTTGGATCGGTTGGCAGATGGATTTTGAATGTTTCACGGTCCGTCTCGATCCGTCCAAGCTATCCCGCCTGGTGGATCTCGCCAAACAGTTGCTAAGTTCCCGCGACTGCTCCGTGCGAGACTTAGAGAGGCTCACAGGCAAGCTCCTTTGGCTCTCCTCTCTCTTCCGCTGTTTCCGTCCTTCTCTGGCGCCTTTGTACGCTGACCAGCACACGTTTACTCCGGTTCTCACGGCTGTCTCACCCGATAAGTGGCAAGCCTTGTGCGACAACGTGGACGCTCGGCTCATACTCCAGCGTTCCGTCGGCATTGCTGCTATCCCTCCGGGTTCCGTCCTGCTCCGAGTCGGCCAGGTACCATTGACTACTCGGCGTGACTTGTGTCACGTCGTCCCCGAGCGCCGACGCATTTGGGTGCAGTCATCCTGCCCATCGCGTTCCTTCTGTCGGTTATCCGACTCCTCCCGACAGGTCATCAACATGTGGCTGGACTTGGCCGCTTCCGGGACAGATGCCCGATCTCTCCTACTGCCACCGCTCTTTGAGTGTTCCGCCTTCGCTGACGCATGCGCAGACGCCTCGTCCGTCGGTATGGGAGGCTTCGTCCGTTTGCCCAATGGCAACCAGCTGTTCTTCCAAACTCGGCTCACCAAACCACAGATGCTCCGTCTGTTTCCGTGGCTTCCGCCCGAGTGCTCGCTGCAGTCCTATATTGCTACGTGGGAACTCGCTTCACAGGCCGCTCTCCTGTTTCTTCTTCATCGCCTGCTGGGCGAGGGTCACCTTCCGTGCCACACAATCTTCCGCTCCGACAATTCCGCTACGGAATCGGCATCTTGGAAGGGTCTCTCTATGGCTCACGGCCTTTGCTCCGTCCTCCGCTCCTTCTTCAGACTGCTGGAGCGCTTGCGGATCTCCGTACACGTGGATCATGTTCCTGGGATTTCCAATGACGTTGCCGATGGTCTCAGCCGTGCCTCCGACCCGGCCTCCTTCGGGTTTACACCCTCGCAATCCGTCGACATCGACTGGTCGATCATGTCGGCCACTCCTGCCATGCAATTTTATCCGTCGGCCGAGCCTTTCTCTGGATTCTGTGCTTCTTAGCTCTGCCCGCTGCCGTTGCTTGAGTTCCTTTTGGTGCGGTTCCCCTGTCGGGTCAAGCATGCGGCTCGATCATCTTTGGTCCGACCGCAGCCAAAAGAGGACCTGGTTCCCGTAACCTGTCCGGACAGGGTTTCACCGGACCTCCGGACTTTCTGCAACCGCTTAGAAAAGAGTGAAGCGCGTGTGCGAGGGCTTTCCGACCGAGCACTCCCCACAACCCTAGGGTAACGGACTAGTCCGCCCGAACGTTACTGAGCTTGATCAGTCATGTTTGGTTTAGGACGCAACGGCAACCGACCGTCCGCTCAGCCATCGGCTCTCAGGACGGTCGGTCGTTCTTCTTCTACCCGCCGCCGTCCCCTTTCTCCTCCTCGAGGATAGGGCGACCGGTAGTCGGATAGTCCTCCGTCCGCTGCCCTCCGTTCACTTGTCTCACCTTTCCGTGGTCCGAGTTTCACACTGTCCGCAGAGCTCACCGTTTCCTTTCTTTGGCAGGTCGGTCCGACCGCAGCCAAAAGAGGACCTGGTTCCCGTAACCTGTCCGGACAGGGTTTCACCGGACCTCCGGACTTTCTGCAACCGCTTAGAAAAAGAGTGAAGCGCGTGTGCGAGGGCTTTCCGACCGAGCACTCCCCACAACCCTAGGGTAACGGACTAGTCCGCCCGAACATACATGTATACAACCACACGCACACACAAGCACATGGATGTGTGCATAGGCATGCATGCACAATGACACCTCTGGACCGGTAGGCCATTGGCCCTGTGTCCCTCGTGTCGACGCAGAGATCAGAACCTTCGCCTGGAGATTCCGAGAAGCTTTCTGTTCCAGAACAGGTTGGGAAATTCGGAGATGGATTGCACTGAGGAAGCAAGCTCTGGCCTTGTGGCCATTATGGAGAAAGCCAGCGCCGGGCAATGGAGTTTGTACAAGGAGGCACTTCATTTGGGGAGCTGCTCTGGCTTGAGTTTCTCGAACAGTGGGAGACGGAGCGAGAGAGATTTCCACCGAGAGAGCGGGAGTGCCAACGGATCCCGGAAGGTGCGAGTGTAGTTTTGTTTCGCCAGCACAGGGCTCGGGCGAGGTTGCATTCTGCTTCGAAGTGTATGTTGCTGAAACTAGTGAGACTTTCCCTTGCTTCCGTTTCGATGCCGACCGAACAAGACTAGTTGATTTGGTGTTCACCTTCAATTTGTCAAGAAGGCCTGCGAAAGAAAGAGAGAGCCAGCGACACATAGCGACACACTCACACATTATATGCAGTATGTAGATGCTCGTACTTAAGTATGTATGCATGCATGCATGTAGTGGCATGTAGGCGCCAATTCACCCATGTATGCGGCACGAAGAACTTGCAGGACTTAGTTGTAATCGTAGGGACGAGTTGGCCAAACGCAAAGTAGTAAGCAGCGAATCATGGGAGAGATATCTGCCACAGGCAGGGGCGAAGACAGGAAAACAGGTGGTGAAACCAAGGGCCAATAACTATTCCGTGCTCATGTCACACATGCATGCAGGTGGTCCAAGACAACATTGCTGGTGGGGCATGGCAGGCACGGCGCTATCCTTGTGTGCATTCACTGCAGACTCTTGGCATGAGGCCTGTGACTATGATCAATCTGCCGGGATAGCCGTTTTACGGCAAACAACTTTTTTCGGTAGATGATGAAAAGTCAGAGCCCGTAGTACCGTAGCGACGGTCATGCCAAGAAGAGACGCCTGGTTGGATGGCCCTCCGATTGGAACGATGACCAATGCACGGGCTACTGCTCGGATGGGTGAAGCGCAACGCTGCAATTCTCAAGATGATGTCAGCCATTCGGAGGCAGCATCTTATTCTGCAGGCTCTATAGGACATCCAAACCTGTGCGCGCGGCCATGCCGTTTCTTCGCCAAGGGCCACTGCTGTTACGGCGAGCGCTGCAATCAATGTCATGAAAAGCATGAGCAGCTGCAAAGTCTTCCAGACAAGAAGCAACGTGCCCAGTTGCGTGACTTGAACGATTCACAAATTTGGCGGTTGTTGTGGCCCTACTTACGAGCACAAGTTGAAAATTGGGAGCTGTCAGCCGGTGATCCCCGACCAGTCATTGAACTGGCTCATCAACGCTTCAAACATCTTGTTCGTTCTGGGGCCAACCCTGTTGTGCCCTGCAGAGTGGCCCATGAGTTGTCAGGAGTGCTCCGCAGCATGAATTTCAGTGGGCTCATGGACATCGCGTTGGGCCGTCTTAACCCATGTCCTGAATGCTCCAGACCCAGTGCGGCCAGTCTTTGGCTGGATGGGGCGGAGGTAGTGAATCAGTGAAGCAGTAGAGTTCCCTGACTTTTTTTCAGGACAGGATTCCGACAAGTGTACAGATTGACTGTGAGCTACATTTCGTCGTGTGCGCCAGCCAAGGATCAGTTTACTGGTTCGTTTCACAAATAACGGGGCTTTTTCCCCAACTTTTAATGCTTTGTGTGCATGTGCTAGTCTGCTGGTGGTTCCATCGTGTATTTTTAGAGGGGTCTGCTCAGGCAAAAGCTCGCCGCCCTGCCCAGCAACCCGAGGGGGGGGGAACCCGCCGGAGAAGGAGCCTGGGTCCAAATCTGACGCAAAAAGCTGCTGTCTGTCTCACTTTGGCTTCTGGCGTTCTGACAATTTTGATTTTTCGTTTCTGTGCCTACATGAGGACAGGAAGCTCGACCCATGCTTAGTAGACAGCACCGGAGAGACTTCGGAATGGATGGGTTGTGTGGGGTAGATTGGTTGAGAACAATTTTCGCTTCCTTTCATGCACGACAGTGCTCCGCGATATCACTGGAGTCACTAGAGTCACTGGACACGCTGCCCCACATTGGAGCTTGATTGCTGTTGCTGAGCTGACAAGGCCCTGATCTTCACCACCATCTTTCTAGCGTCGGTCTTTGGATTGTACTGGATGGCATGCATCCCCAGTGAGGACAAGCATGATGGCGCCTTGGCTATATTTGGCAACATGTGGCTATGAACTGGTCAATCGTGGGGTAGATAGGCTTGGAGCCAATCTAACACGATGAAGCATCATGTGCCTGGCATGATTTGGCAGCATCTCCTGTCGGACTGGGCAGCGAGCGTCACAAAGAGTCCAATGTGGTACCATGAAATGACAGGTGCAACAGACAAGCAAAATATTGGTAGCTGTGATTTCAGTTCAGCCTGGCTTCAGCACGGCATGACCGTCAATCGGTGCAATTTCTTCGCAAGCAGACCTGCAAACATGACAAAGACAGTACCGAGGAAGAGATCACAGAATGCTGGCGGGAAGGCAGCATGGACATGCTGGACAACTGCTTTCAGGCAGACAGAGCCTCGATTTGAGTAGCCATCCGATGAAGTCGATGTGCACAAGGTTCAGGGGAGAAAGTTAGAACTAGTTGGGACGCATGTATATCTTCGTAGGCACTTACTTACTCAAGCATGTTTACGTTGCAGCTGTTGCCAGCTGTGTTACGCTTAGAGCAAAAGGCCGTCTTTTGTTGCCACAAAGACCAATCGCCTCCGAGACTCCTCGCACAACTTTTTTGTAGCATGTGGGTCTCAAATGAACGTTGTAAGCATGCACCATGATCATTCGGACTGGCGCTACCTGTCAGTCGCATAACCAGTGTCTTCAAATGGATTCCAAAGACAAATCTGCAGCTCAGGATGTATCCTGCAATGTCTCAGCGCCCAACCCTCGAAGCTGGCTCCGTGCGGTCGTTGAACCCAATGAATCCACCTTCATCGATGAGATTGAGCTTGACCGCGCGAAAATCCACAGGTGCCGTCAGGGGATCTTCAGGCGACATTTCTTGTTGAGGCATTGGGGTATTGTGATCTATTTAAATCTCTGTAACTATCGGGAGTTTTTGGCCCGTCCAGATGCACTAGAGGGACAAAAAAGTGACACACTCAGCGTGGCAATCAATGATGGGGCATGTCGATTATGTGCTTGGGGAGGCGACAACTGGTACCCGGAGCTGCCCACTATCTACCCGCCTCTTGTGATTCCAGCCGCACATACACGGCTGGCAGTGCCGGTCTCGCCGCTGTTTCACGACCAGTTCGAGGTGGATGTGCTTGGATTGTCAGGCCGGCACACCTGGAAGGGTTGAGGAAGGCTGCACGGCAGGGTGGGGTTACCTGTGCCTAGTGTGCTCCCCAGGCGTACCGTTGCTCACGGCTGCGCTCACGCAGGAAAATGGCTTACGGAAGGCGGCATTGAATGCAGATTAGCTGTTCTTTTGGGTTGTTGTCCACGTGTCTTTCTTCAGTTTTGCTTCGTGCGTGACATGGAGGTGCAGATCTCCTTACACAGTGCAGGCACCCTGGCAGCATGGCAGTTGCAGGCCTCCCCACCAGGCATTGACCCACGAAGTAACGACTGTGGCTGGTGCCTTGTGCAATTTTCCGCACAAGCCAGTTACCAGTCAACAGTCACTCCTGGCGAGCCCAAGACAGATGTGTTTGTCGTCGACGTTGCAGAAGGAGATGTTTCTGAGGCACGCTTTTGGCAATTGTGACCTCTGTTCCCAGCTCAGCTTCTGGGGGCTTCATGCGTATCTTTTCGTTGTGAGTGCTCTGCACAAAAGGCCAAAGAAGTCTTTGGCAGCGACGGAACTCACTTCGGAACGCTAGTCCAGGCTCCCATTCTTGCCGAGCAAGCAGCTTTCGAAGTGACTACTGGTGTATGCATAAATATAAATATAAATATAAATATAAATATAAATATAAATATAAATAAATAAATAAATAAATATAAATATAAATAAATATATATATATATATATATATAATATGTATAAAGACAGGAGGGAGACCGTCCCGAGTGCCTTCAGCATACTCTTCGCGACCGGGCTGGGCGACCACTCCTGGCCTTGAGCCGAGAAAGCCGAGTCACACTTCACTGGGGAAGAGGTGGCACACTCTCTCTACTTGTATCTCTCTCGCTGTGCCTTCATGGCAAAGTTGACGAGCCTTGTTTGCATGGCAAAGCCTGCCTGAACACTGATGCTTGTCCCGAGGCCGTCAGCACTCGTCAGGAGTGATGTGCAGAGGCGGTTCGCATCGCAAACCTTAGCTCCCTGAAGCCTTGTGCCAGGACCGCAGAGACTACAAGATGACCTCGATTTCCGGTGGACGTGTCCTCGAAAGGGTGAGCGGCTCTGAAGTCTGGGCTCTCTGCCATGGCCTTGACCCCAAGCTTTCGCCATTCCGAGGCCACTGCGGTCCGACGGCCAGCTGGCAAACTGCCGGCTGAACACTACGAGGCAAGTGAAAGGAGAGTTGTCACCTCATGCAAGCTCAGAGTAGTATAAACGAGTGTCTGCCTCAAGGTATGCTCCAGCGGTGTATCCAAGTAGTAGCTGCGCAGGTTGTTGCGAACCCGAACGTCGACGCAGTGCTGGTGCTGGCCTGCTTCCTCGCCGTCGTAGTCTTCAAGCCCTTCGTTTCAATTCTTTTCTCATTCGGGTTTGACACAGATTCATTTGCACTTTGGGATATGTTGTATTTGGAGCCACTTGCTCCGTTCTTACAGATCAAGTGGCCCCCACGACGCACAGATGCATGCCTCTCATTCTTTCACGAGGTCTTCGCAGAGCTCACCGGTTGCAAGATCCGGTGGACGGCTAAGAGACGCAGAGAGCGCTTGGAGCCGTTCCGCTGAGTGGAGAGAATGCTGGAATTGGAGCGGACCCCCCGAGCACTCGGCTTCACGGTGCACGATAGCGCCGTACTCCATACTGCTGACTTCATCCTTATTTTGACCACATTTGGGTAATCAATGCCTGTTGCGGAAGGGAAGGTTACGCAAGAGACACTGAGAGAAGACTCCGAAGGTTCTCGAACAACCCAAGATTGGGCAGCCGTTCTGGGTTTCTCAGGCCCTGGCCGTGCGTCCGTTGGCGAGAATGCAAACCTGACTGGGCGCTACTGGGGTGACCTGGCAGAAGCTTCTTGTTGTGTTTCGAGCTTGTTCGTGCCATTGACTCGGCACGTCTTTTTCCTTTCCACCATCGTCGTGTCGAAGCTGTGCAAGATGTCTGCACTCACTCAGCAAACATCGACACAGCAAGCAATCTCTGTTGGTGGAGCAGTTGGCAAGCTGCGATTGCTGATGAGGAAGAGGGAGAGGAAGAGGCAGGTGAGGAGGATTGGGAGCAACGTGTTCTCTCCCACCCGACCAGTCAGTCCCGTAGCCCAGAATGCAAAGCCGAAGACAAAGTTCAGACCAGCGGTCGGTGCGACGTTTGGAGTGGCTCTCTGCCGTGTCCGCTGTTTCGACTGTTGTTGTCCCTCCTGTTCGCAAGGCTATCGAGAGGATTGAGAGCTCAGCTCGTTAGAAGCGCGAGTCTTTTTTCCGACTCAGCATGTAGGGCGGACCGTGATGGTGAATGTCATTGAATATCAGCGTCTTTGAAATTCCTCAGTGCTGCGTCGATAGTATCCTGTATGGCTGGCCGGCCACCCCTGTTCACTGTTCGTAGATGTTGTACTGAACTCAGACTGCAAAGCGTTGCTTGACTCGGAAATGAAGAGCATTTGTCCTGTCCGTAGGTCTGCGGATATAAGCAGCTCTCTCAGTGCCTAAATCCAAAGTCCCAGTGCGAGCAGCCATTGCCCCTCGGTTTGAGCTTTACGGAATGCAGCTCAGCAATGTCTCAGATTAGTGCAGTGCTGGACGCTCCTCCAACGAGCGAAACTGGCACTAGCAGTGTATTGCCGGCACATCGACAAGCAGACAAGGCGACAAGGTTCTTTTGGGTTCGCTCAGCAGGGCTGATATCCAAGCCCCCTTCAAGCTCGATATCCCTCTTTCGTACCGCCATGGCTTCGGAGACTCCGAACTGGACAGCGCAGACCTCGATCACGAAGCAAGGGATCTGTGATACTTGGATCGACTCCGAGAACTCAAAAAAACTCTAGGATTCAATCAGGTGCCACGACCCTGGCGCCAGCTGCCGGAGATCGAGGCTTCACCTGACTCAGGGAGCTCGGCAGATCCGCTGGGATTGTCTGGATTTCTGGATTCTCAGTGCTCACAGCTTTCGGCTCGAGCCCCGGCCCAAGCCTTCGCAAGTTCAAGAAGTTCAAGCACCAAAGAGATCGCATCCTGAGCACTGCCTCGCACCGGCAGCATACCAAATCGGGGGCCGCCCTGGGCTGATCTTCCTTTCTGCTGCCCCGCGAGCCCATCCGTGAGCCGTGAGCTGCGAGCCATGGACCGCTTGCGGCGGATTTCCCGCCACCTCCTTGCCGCTTGCCCCCAACTCGCCTTCGACCTCTAGCGCCAGTCCTTTTTGTGGTAGGCGGTTGTTGTTGTTGTTTGTTTCTGTGGGGCTGCCAAGGCAGGCGATGAGCTCGGCCTCTCCCCAGAGAGCTGCGCCGCTGCTGCTTCTTCGGCACAGCCATCAGAAGATGCGAAACAAAGGCAGGAGTCAGAATTCGCACAAAGCCGGCCATGTTATGCTCCTGGCACCAAGCTTGAGCATGTTTCATCACTTGTCATGTCAGCATGTCAGGAAGAGTAACGTGGACATCATCCGGACCTACATATTGGATATCCACAGGCCCACCAGTAGCAGCCGTGAGAGGTGCACTGTTGTGTGGCAATATCCTAGAGGCTTCGGACCACTGGAGAGATGCCATCGATGACTCTGTGTCCTGACATGACATTGACATGACATGGCATCGTGATTCTGAAGCCGGCTTTGAAGTGCGCGAGCCTTGCAGTTCTCCCCACTGTAGCCCAAGGCATGAAGTGCTAATGATGCAGCCTCCGTATTCCAAACGCAGCTCTGAAAGCATTTGAGAAGTTTCGCAACATGGCGTGGCATGCATTGAAGCTCTTGCGCTCTTGCTAAAGAGCTTTGTGATGTAGACCTCCACTGAGGAACAGGTCTGGGCAAGCAGTTGGAGAAAGCAGAGGCCCGCCGCCAACTGCCTTGCACCTTCCGCTTGGGCACGCCCGCCCCCCCGCGGCTCGTGCAGGCCAAGGGCTACCTGGCAGCGCTCTCGCTGCTGCCGGGACCTTGGGCTGACGCCCAGACACGCGAGGACGGTATGGATTCAAGGGGTGCACGCCAGGCTCCACGTTAAGGCAACCGTGATGATACTGCGAGCCGCAGACAGGACAAGCTGAAGCTTTTGGAGCTGGACTGGATGGCACAGCAGGAGGGGATCCAGCTGCAGTGACTTGGCTCTTGGCTAGCTTGTGCTTTGCTTCCTGCAGCAGTCGCTATCACTCATCAATTTGACAGGAACTGTCAGTGCCAGGTGAGCACTTTTTATTCCTGGTCCTACTCGTACGAAAAGAGCACTTATTTCAGCGCCAGATTGTAGAGCCAGACCTAGTGATGTTCTTCGGCGTCGTCTGGACATTTCTTCGTAGGCAACGCCATCCCTTGGCAGAGGCGGACTGTGCGAGCTGTGAGCTTGCCCATGCCAGAAATCTCGCCAAAATGTGACCACTCTAAGTCCAATTTCCTGAGTCGCAAGCCCTTCTGGGCTCCAAAAGGGCTTGCCATCTCAGATTGGTGCAACCGAAATCGGCTTTGGTTTGCCCGTGGCTATGCCCGTCGCTGGAGCTTGGCCTGTCTGTTGGGTTTGGGCCTGGGATTTGCTTTTGAATTTTTGCTGGGCATGTTGCCGCGGAGAAGCCTGTCCCGAGACATTCGCGGTCACACGTCGTCGGACGACGGCAGGAACCGCTTGAAGAGTTAGCCCTCGACTGAATACATGCCGGACCCATCCCAGTCGCACACCATGCCAGACCCCATCTGTGTCAGGCGCAAGATACTGCAAAACGTTTTGCAATCGGCGGATTCGCTGGGAGCCTTTAATTCGCGCTGCTGAGAGGAGATACGATCAGAGCGCTTGTGTGTTGAGCTTGTGGATTGCTTGGTCGTGGTTTGTGGCGCAGCATGTGGTGGGAACTGCAGAGCCTTACTCAACCCAGCACTGCAGTTGGCTATGCGGGGTCGCACCGGTGGTCGGGTGTGAGGCAGTGCGCACGCCTTGAGGCCAACCTGGCATTTTGCCAGATGACACCACCGCAAATGGGCTAACGCGGGTGGTGGGGCATGGTGGTTGGACCCTGCATAGCGTGGCTGCGAGCTGTGCGTGCAAAGGGGCAGCCCAAGTGCACAGTGAGAGGAGACCCCTGAAGCCAACATGTTTGCAAGTGTGAATGTGCTAGAAAAGCTGACGGCGTCGCTTGTGTTGTGGCGGCTTCGCTAACGCCAGGCTAACGCACGTTTCGCAGGTTGCCGATGCTAGTGCCTGTAAGATCGTGCGCATTGCAGTGCTTGACGGGGCAAGTCTCGTTCTTGACGGCGGCAGTCGTGGAAGCCGTCGTAGGGCACTTCTGTACTGATTGTGCTTTTGTCTGACGGAGCACTTGTGTGTTGACCTTGTGGATTGCTTGGTTGTGTTGGTTCGTCGTGGATTGTGGTGCAGCATGTGGTGTGAATTGAAGAGCGTTACTCGCCTTAACTCAACCCAGCACTGCTTTTGATTATGCGGCGTCGCACCGTGGTCGGGTGTGTGGGGCAGTGCGCACGCGTTGAGGCCAACCTGGCATTTTGCCGGATGACACCATTGCAAATGGGCTAACGCGGGTGGTGGGGCATGGTGGTTCGACCCTGCTGTGCGTGCCAAGTGCACGGTGAAAGGAGACTTTCGAGGCCAACATGCTTGAACGTGCGAGTGCGCTTGAAAAGTTGACGGCGTCGCTAGTGTTGTGTCGGCTTGTTCTGGCTTGTGTTGCTCGCCAGCGCGCATGGCGCAGCTTGCCGAGACCGGTGCTTGTGAAATGGGGCGCACTTCAGTGCTGGACATGGCAAGTCTCATTCGTGACGGCGAGATGTTCATGGAGCTGGAGCGGCGTCCACAATGGTGCTTTGGCATGTCCGGTCTGGCCCTGGCATGGGCTCGAGCACCAACTGGTTGAGTGTCCACACATGTCCACACCATTTCGGAACCGGGCCTGCGTGCATCCAAAGGTTGGGCACGTGTGGCTCGACCGTCGCAAGGCAGATGTAGAGTGACAAATTGCGGTCGAGTCCTGCGGTAACGATCATAGTGTTCATCTTCAGCGATGCAACGGAGCTGCTACCGCGGTGCCACATCACAATTGCGAAGCCCGACTGGTTGTTTCGACCAGCAGTGGGCGTCGAAATCGGTGCTCGGTGTCGATCTCGGCGAGTGTCGGAAATCACAACGATGCAACCAAGTAAATGTTGCCGAAAGCATCAGCATTCACCGTTCGCTGAATAGCATGCACTCCGGACGTTTTTGGTTCCCCGGCGCTCTGGCCCTGCATCTGCTTCTCAGAGTTTAGGATGCCGGACAGCTGGAGCCTTTAAGCGCATCCAGCTAAGTGCCAGTCTGAGGCTTTATGCTGCTTACCAGGAACGCCTCCGAGCAGCAATTCAGCAAGGGCATGAGGCCATGATGCATCGATGAATGCGCTGGTGCGGTAGCTTCTGTGGCAACTACCGACCACATGTCCCGCATAGGGACTGCTTTCACACGATTGCTTTTGACGCGAGGTTATGGTGACAAAGGCCTTGGAAGCAACATTGTGGTTCCGTCGGTCGTCATGCACAGTAAAGTCACGGAGAAGATCACTCCAGAGAAGCAGTTGACGCCTTTGGACAGCGCGATTGCGAGGAACTCAGAACCTCTTTTTGTAGGCCAGGCAACGACCACAAGTTCCCAGGCATGATCGTGGATTGATGTAGCATCCATATTCCGAATGCAAGGTGCAGAGGATCGTGGCGCGTGTCATTGTTGCTGATCCTGAAGATGCTGAACGAGTCGCCCGCATTCACGTGCGCAAGGAGCCCAATTTCGGAGGCTCACTGCTAAACCATAGGTATTCCACAGCTTCTGCTTGTAGACGGGAGCTTTCAAAACAGGTGTTGTAATCAAAGCAAGGCAGATCGTATTAAAGGCATTTTGCAAGAGCAGTTCGTGCGCACCCGCGAATGGAGTGCCTCGCTTAAAGATCACATGCTTGCACATTGGCCAGTCCTCATGGACAGCATCATCTCGACTACAGACAATGAGCTTCTTGTCATAAATTCTGGTGGTTGTTGTTTCGCTCCCGATCTAAATGCGTGATCCTGAACCGGAACTTCATCTGCCTGCATTTGCTGACAGTTTGCCGAGGCATTGGCGGGAGCAACGACAGCATCTTGTCGAGGCCTTCCTCCCTCTCTCGTTTTGGCCTCATTCCGCTGCTTGCAAACTTATGTGACTAGTTTTGATGTACGTAAGCATGTCGTTCGGTACGTAATCAGGTGTGTAGGAACATCTGAATGTCTGTATGTCTGCAAGTCTGTATATCGGCAAGTGTGTAGGTATGTATGTACGCATGTATGCATATGCGTACGTATGTATGTATGTATGTATGTATGTATGTATGTATGCATGGATGCATGTATTTGTGTGGGTAGGTAGGTGAGTGAGTGAGTGAGTGAGTGAGTGGGTGGGTGGGTGGGTGGGTGGGTGGGTGGGTGGGTGGGTGGGTGGGTGGGTGGGTGGCTGGGTGTGGGTAGGTTGGTGTGTGCGTGCGTGTGTGTGTGTGTGTGTGTGTGTGTGTGCGCGTGCGTTTGTACGTATGTGTGTCTGCATGTACGCGTGTACGCATGTATGGATGGTATGGATAGTATGTATGGTATGTATGATGTGTCTTGTGCGTACGGCGTGCGTACATGCAAGATAGATGAATAACGATAGATAGGTAGATGATAGACAGGTAGATAGGTAAATACGTAGGTCGAAAGATAGAAAGACATATAGATAGATAGATTAACGGATCAATGAGAATTAAGCAAGTAAGCAAGTAAAATGTAGGGCAGTAGAGTAAGTAAGGACGGAAGGGAGCAGAGAAAGAAAGAAGGAATGACGGGACGAAGGAAGGAACGAAGGAAGGAACGACATACAGGAAGAACACAGAGAAATAGAAAGACAGCAAACAGTAAGCTCGTAAGTAAGGGACGCCAAAAGGAAAGGAAGAGAGAGCATCGATACACAGAAAAAGTAAGTAAGCGAGTAGGTATGCAAGCAGGCAGGCTGGTAAGCAAGCAAGCAAGCATGCAAGTGGATAAGTATGCAGGTAATCATGTAAGTAAGTTCTGCAGTAAGGTCAGTGAGTCAGTACGGAAGTATTTGTAAAGTAGGCAAGCAAGCAAGCAAGTAAGTAAGTGAGACACGCAAGTAAGTAAGTAAGTACGTGAGTGATTGACTGAGTGAATCAGGGAGTGAGACGGGGTAAGTGAGCAAGTAAGCCAGCATGTGCGTGTATGTGGTTTTTGTTCAGGTCTGAGGCTATGGAATTCCAGATACCCGAGCCTTAAGAAAAAGAGCTTGCTCAGGTCGCTCGCGGAGATCTTGCCAGTGTCCCTTGCACGTGCAAAGGCCCAGCGTGCTCGGGTATGTCAGGTTGAGGTTATCGTACAGTGGCCAGGCCGTAGCAACATGGAAGAAGAGCTGCAGGACTGTGCCAATCGATTGGGCAGCCTGGCCAAAGACGGGCAGCCGGTCGACATGAGCGATTTCTTGTTGCCACGTGCCTGCAAGAACATCAAGAACTGTGCCCGCACCGTGTGACTGTGTCTGTCATCGCTTGCCTAGAGTCGGAACCTTACAGGGAGCAGAATCGAGGCACGAAGCACAGGCCCAACTGCAGCTGGCCCTTTTGGGAGCACCGGAGTCCTTGATGGAGGAGACCAACCAAGGCCGTTTGCCGTTGTAGCCGTGTTGTAGACCGTGAGGCACACACATGGGAGTCTGCATTACTGTATTCTGGCGTAGGCATTCGGAAGACCTTCATGTTCCATCCAGACGCCAAACTCGGTGAGCTGAGCAATGCGATGTGCATCAGCGGCACTCAGCCACGATAAGACCTGCAGCATGCAATCCGCGGCCTCTGCATGTCGGCTTGTTGTGTGCCCGAGAAGCTGGCGCTAGAAAATCTGAGGAAGGAGATCATGAAGGTGGCACAAGAGGATCGAACTTTAGGCCATCCGCAACCATCTACATAGCATCCGACGACGTTCGACATGCAGACTCAGACTGTCATTGTGCCACATCGAGGGAAGTTGGAGCCCGAACTCTGGATTGCAGGCCTTCCTTCCGACGGATGTCCTGTAAAAGGCACGACGGGAGTAAGACGACCATAAACTGTCACCGCTGAGAGCAGTCGTCACTGATGTATGTGGCAGGACCTTTATCAAGGGCCCTGCAGACAGGGAATTTCCATGCAAGCACTGACTACGGGAATCTTGTCAGACAAGATGCCTCAGTCAAAGAAGTCGTTCCTTGCAAGACCTGATGCTGTCCCTCAGACTCTAAGGAATCTGCTTTTGATCCTCTTTGCGGGCCATGACACCACAGGTGAGATGCCGCAAAATGTCAGACTGAATGAACTGCTCGACATGCTTGAGAGGTCACACCATGACTTGGCTGACCTTCGAGCTTGCCCGCCATCCGGACATACAGCGCAAGGTCCAGGCCTGTCAGGGCTACGGCGACCGACACGCTTCGGGCGTGATGTACTGTTCTTGTGAGAAGGAGGAAGTGGACCACTTCTTCCGGTGCCTGAACGGGCGTGACCCAACCTACCAGGATCTGGGGCACAGGGCGGCATAGGGTTCATAGAGAAGGTGGATGCATTCACTTGTTTGCTTGTGACATTGCTTGCAGCTTAAACCATCTAGAAACATGGGACTGATCCCTTGTGAACAACATGCTTTCAGGACTTGAGCAAGTTTGATGTCTTGGACCGATGCATCACGGAGTGCAGCCCTCGGAATCGTTGTTGGTCCCGGACTCACGTAACGGTTCTGTTGTGTCTTCTGTGCAAATCTAAGGACGCTCCGTTTGTGGCCTGCCGTGGCAAATGGCACCTTCAGACAACTGCAGCGGGGTGCTTGGCTAGAGCGAGGGGCACTCATCGAAAGAAGAAGACAGGTACTGGCGGAACTTGTGCAGTCGCCCAGGTTTGCAGAAGAGCTCAGCGCCAAAGGCGAAAACAAGGCCGTCAGTGCAAGTGCAGGTAATAGCTGTCCAGGTGCCTGGGCAGTGCCGTGTTGATCCCATCTCTATGACTCCCGCATGCTTGATAGGTCACTCTTCCCAAGGGCACGTTTGTGACCATCAGCAACTGGTAGTCGTCTCAGCGAAACGGTGCGGGTGTATACCGGCGTCAATTGACATCATGGTCAGCGGCTAGCCGTTGATGCGCGTCTTATTGCAGTTGCATGTCTGGCGGATTTCATGCAGGTGTCGTCATCGAAACCCAGAGCTTTGGGGAGCAGATGCGGAGACTCCACATCGAATACAGACATTACCCGGTGATTTCAAAGGACACTAAGAAGCGGGTCACTTTTCTGACAAGACGCCAAGGACACCTTCAACCCTTGGCGGAGCTTTGCTTCTGAGGCCAGAGGGTAACGTAGCGATATGATCCCAGGATGGGACTGCTGTTTTGGTACGTTCCAGGAGCTCGCCCGCGTGGGTTGCCCGATGGCCGCGCGCACCCCGCAGTCCGCCCGCTTCTCACCTTTTGCGCACAACCCTCGCAGCTGCTTGGGAAAGAACTTTGCACAGATGGCTTCTTGGCTCACGCTGGAAAAAGCTCTGCTACGGGCATCATGTGTTGGCTGCCTTCGACAAAACATGTGCTTTGGAACACTCGAGAACGTGTGATTTGTCGGACGTCTTCTCCTTAGTAAACTGGCGCATGGAAGCTCGACTGAGGAAATGAGACTGATCTTGTCCTACTTGTTCCACAAGTTCAGCTTTGCCCTAGCGCCACCCTACGACGCCCTTGTGGATACCACCGTCAAGGCCGAAGTTGCTTGTGATCTTCAAGCATCAGTGTCTGAAGATTGACGATAAGGTTCGTGCCCAGGCATCGGACACCAATCCCAGGAGCTTTCGTGGCATCAACTCGGGTGGCACCATGGGGCCCATGGACCTTGAGCATGGAGGCTGGCGAAGCATTTGCTCGATGCAATCTCAAAATGGACATGGCATCTTTCGGTTTTGTCGCCGCTAGGTTCTGTTTCGGAGGATGAGCGCTTCCTGGTTGCGATGAAGCTGCGCGTCACTCCCAGGAGTTGATCTGACGAGCTGCGGCAGGGCTTCCGGGATTTGGCGACATGATACCACTCCGCGAAGCCCGTGCAAGTCTTGCAAGAGGCTTGCCACGGCGCAACGTGCTGCGGCATTCTTCTATGCTGTTCAGTGGTGCGGCAGTTCTTTCAGATTCCTGTCTAGTCTTGGACTGAACGATTGAACGGGCACAGTTCCTGGGGATAGGAGCTTGGACAGTCTTCTGGCTAATGTGCGGGCATGACTGTTGGCTCTCACAGCCTCTGAAGACTGGTCAGTTTTCGGCACGGCCATACTGATAAGAATGGGTTACGACCAGCAACCAGCTTCAGGGCTCGGATGGGCACTGAGTCGCTTTGAAGTCTGCCTTTTGTGTAGACGGTCTCAGGGCTCATCCCATTTTGGGTTCCCTTGCCGGGAGCCCAAAACGGGCACTGTCTGGAAGTGCTTGTTTGGAGCTGCCAAGACGTGCTTTGCTTCCAGAGAACAAAACCGACTGTTGAGTGGCCGCTGGCAGATCGTCTATCGCCATAGCGAGGCAACTCGTGGCAGAGTGAACAGGTTGCGCCCACAAGCGCTCAAGCTCAATGGCATGCTCGACATCGCAGAGCATCAGATGTCCAGGTCAGCGAAAGATTCTGCCTGCAGCAGGGGAAGTCATATGGCCTGCCAGGACACTCTCTACGAAAGCTGCGAGGGTGAATTCGTCAGCAATCGTGGAGAGCAAGCGGGTCTCTATGGTTCCCAGGCCGCGACCTCAAGCATGGCATTCCACACCAGTTTGTTGGACATGAAGACGCGAGAATGCACCAACCAGCAGAATCAAGAACTCTGACTGTTGCGCAGACCAGGGCTCAAAAAAGACAGGAGTTTCCTTCAAGTTTCAGCCTTTCTGACCTTTTTGCCTCTACAATTTTGGCACCATGTCGGCCACAGGCATCGACGAGTTGCCGGGGGCTGCAGAATTGGCCAAATCTTTGACAGTCCTTTGCCATGGCAGGAACTGTGATGAAGGTGTCCGGCCCCTTGGTGGTCGCTGAAAACATGTCAGGCACGAAGATGTACGAGGCGAGGATGACTATCAAGCCTTTGGCGACTGCATGTCCCTTCAGTCCCTTCAGCCGTGGGTCTCTTCAGGTGGTCCGAGTGGGCAAGGACCGGCTGGTGGGTGAGATCATCCGGCTCGAGGGCGACACGGCGAGTATCCAGGTGTACGAGGTCCGGTCGGGGCGTGAGAGAGGAGCTGTTGCTAGGTTTCGTTTTGAGCGTCTGCTTGGCGAGATTTTTGTGACAGGATACCTCCGGCTTGACAGTTGGCGACCCCCTGGTGAAGACGGGTTTGCCACTTTCCCTGGAGTTGGGTCCTGGAATCCTTGACGGAATCTATGCAGCTCGCCAGTAGAGCAAAGATTCGCAACGACGAGATGTGATGAACAAGTCAATTAAGTTTCTGTGTCTTGAATTAAGGACGGCATCCAGCGACCACTGGAGCGAATTCAGCAGCTTGCACAGAGCGTCTTCGTCCCGCGAGGGGTAGATGTGCCAAACCTGGATCGCGAGAAGCAGTGGGACTATACGCCAGAGAACAACATCAAGGCAGTTTGAGTCGGAGGTGAATCAGATCAGACAAGTTCATCGTAGTTGCTTTGTCAGAGTTGTGTTGCTATGACCGTCCGCGACAGCACGCGAACGTTTGGCCCTCGCGAGGTGGGCGACCTGGTCACCGGAGGTGATGTCGTCGGCGTGGTTCGTGAGAACGGGTGTCATGCCGGCAAGAAGGGTTGCTGATGCTCTGATACACTGAACTCCCTTGAATGTGCTTCTTGTCGCGTTCACTTGGCAGTGAAGCATGGGTAAGAGAATTCGATGATCACAGTCTTTTCCAGAGCTTGCCGGGGTCAACTCAAAGTCTCAGGCTGTTCAAGAGACACATGATCATGGTTCCCCCTGGCGTGAAGGGACGTGCCATGGCAACGTTGGGCAAAAAGGGGAAGGAACAGCATGGAACAACGTAACTGCCTTTTTGTTCATCCTGCACACGTGTGCGAAGCTGAGGCGTGACCAAGGTGATGCCTGCGGGCAAGTATACAATCCAGACGGCTGTGGTAGAGGTTGAGGAGGCCGGAAAAGCGATGAAGGTCGAGCTGTTCCAGCGACTTGGCAGAGCTGAACTTTCAAGCCGTGGGGCGTCGGTGGCAGTTTGAGACTGGTAGAGATCTCGACACGAAGGAGATGGCCAGTGCGAGAGGCACGACCTGTTGTGGAGCTCCTTGGCACATTCACGGAGCACAATCCCCCCGCTGCTGTACCGCCTGCAGTTTGCATGGTGCCCTGATCCTGTCGTTACGTTAATCCGGCAAAGCAGTGTCCCAGGAAGCTCCAGGGTAAGGAAGCCCTGCTTACCTGCGAGCGTGTGACTTGGGTGAAGCAGTTAGCTGTTGCAGCACAGGCTAAGAAGAAAAGACAGCATCTCGCATGGGTCAGTTAGCGAGCAAGCACGAGTGCTGTCAGAGAGAGAGAGAGAGAGATGTATACTCTATGGCATGAGCCTTGGCTGTATTATGCTCGTTCTTCACACCCCTCCTCCTGCATAAAATATGCGGGTGGGCTTGATGCCCGGGGGTCTTGATCGACCCCTATGCCCGGGAGAGAGAGAGAGAGAGAGAGAGAGAGAGAGCTAGATTATAATAGAATAGTAACAATATCAGATAATAGCAATAAAAATACTATGAATAGTATCATATTGCTATTATTGTTAGAGAGAGACAGGCCAGGCTGGAACCCTCAGGACAAACCCTGGCTCCCTCTTCCAACCTTTGAAAGGCAGGCTCCCAGGCTCGCAGTCTCTTGAAGCCGTCGTCCCCGAAATTTTGTGAAAGTGGGGGAACTCTAGACCTAACAGGTACGAAAGAACGAAGGAGAGAGAGCGAGATAGAGCCGCCGTCATCTTGAAACCCCGATCCTGTCCTGTCGGTCCAGTCCCTTGAGGTTATCGACGCTCTTTTCCCCGTCACTCTGGGCGGTACGGCAGCAGTGCCGGGAGCCTTCGGGTGCGGCAAGACGGTCATTTCGCAGGCGGGGCCTTGTTGGTCCAAGACACGGAATGTCGGCTTAGGCCCACGGTCCCAGCCCGCGGTTCAGCACCGCAGCGACCCTTTAGGATCTACCCTGAGCTGTCGTGAGTCCAGGCATTGTCGAAGTACTCGAACGCTGACTGCGTGGTCTATGCGCCCCGGCAGCAACGGACCTCCCAGTCTTGTGCGAACCTCCAGGCTCGGCATTGCCAACTCCCGTGATTTGAGGTCGGATGCGGCGAGCGTGGCAATGAGATGGCAGAAGTGCTCACAGACTTCCCCGAGTTGACGACCATGATCGACGGCAAGGAGACCCCCAAATCGGTGAAGCTCAGCATATGTCTAGCGGAAGACCAAGTGCGTAAATGTGAGACCGTGCAGGAAGAGCCAATCATGCAGCGAACCACCCTTGTGGCGAATACGTCGAACATGCCGGTGGCTGCGCGAGAAGCATCGATTTACACAGGCAGCGGTCGAGCGTAGCGGAAAGTAGTGACTTTGTGCTTGGCAATCGCTCTGCAACATACATGCAAGAGCATTCTTTTTGGAAGCGCAGAGGCGAATATTGAATGCACGTATGCACCTTTTTGGTGGTCGTTTGCAGACTGATTCAGCAGTTTCTGCAACGTTGCATCCAGGCGTGACAACGGCAGAATACTTCCGTGATATGGGCTACAACGTTCCTCAGCTCGAAACTTTGGGGCCGAATGTTCGGGCTTTGACCGACTCGTGGCAACCTCAAGACCACTGCAGCTCTGCAACACATTCCCGTAGGCTCAGCTCCAGTACTGCCCAGCCTGAGACATCCTGAGGCCACAACCTGAGACTGCGATGTCTGCCAAAACCCTTTATCGAAACCCAAATCCGAAACCCCCCAAGCTTACGAGGCGACAGCCGATTCCTCTTCCAAGGGAGCGCGCAAGAATCTAAGGTAGCCATGATGGCGGATAGCACCAGCCGATGGGCCGAAGCACTTCGAGAAATTTCTGGACGACTGGCAGAGATGCCGGCAGATGCCGGCTACCCTGCCTATCTAGGAGTGGAACAGGGCGAACGAGTGATGCAAAGCCACATCATTGGACAATGCAACGCGCGTATCCATGTTCGGGTGGGCAGGAGCGCGTTTGGCTTCGTTCTACGAGCGAAGTGGCCGCGTTCAGTGCCTCGGAAACCCACCACGTGAGGCACGGGAAGACACGGAGCCCAATTCTCTTCGTTGCGGCGCTGAAATAAAGTCGGGCTCTGTTGCTACCAGGGCTCCATTACCATCGTTGGCGCAGTGTCACCGCCAGGCCTGAGCCCTGAGCCCTGAACTTAATCGCTGTCGCACTCGCGCTGACTCGCACGAGGTGGCGACTTCACGGACCCAGTGACATCCGCGACGCTGAGTATCGTCCAGGTCTTCTGGGGCCTTGACAAGACGCCTGTCATGGTAGATGTTGGTATAGAGAGTTCGAGGAGTTTGGGAGTGTATTGAGCACTGGGTGTCTTGGAATCCATCAGAGCCTTGGGAGAAGTGCCTGCATTTGAGGAAGCTGGCTCAGCGAAAGCATTTCCCTTCGGTGAACTGGAACATCTCCTTCTCCAAGTACATTCGCAGCTTGGTATGCAGACTGTTCTGCTCGTCTCTTCTTTTTGGTGTCAGCACTGGTTGTGCTACGAGTGCTTCTTCAGGCATCTTGGAGCCGTATTTCGAGAAATACGACGCAGAGTACAGCTCCTTGGTGCAACTTCCCATGCTCGACATGACGGCTGTGCCTGTGATAGTGCAAATAGTCTGGGTCCGAAGAACGGATGGTGTATCAGGCACGCTCCAGCAGAAGATGAAGGAAATCCTGCAGAAGGAGGATGACCTGCAGGAAATTGTGCAGCATCCCGGCAGTCCGAAATTGGAAACAAGCTACCCTTCCTCCCAAAAGTTATTCTTGGGGTGTGCATGCCTGGTCACCAGGCTGGTCGGAAAGGATTCCCTTTCCGAAGATCAGAAATGCACCCTGGAAGTTGCAAAGATCATCCGCGAGGTGCCGTTTTGAAAGCAATTCTGCTGCCGCGGCATCCAAATAAGGGGACAAGCATGTCACTTTTTTCCATTCATGCAGGACTTCTTGCAGCAGAACGGCTTCACGGACTATGACTTCATGTGCCCGTTGGCCAAGACCATCGGCATGATGAAGGTCATTGCCGCTTGGACCCGGAGGTTGGAGGAGGGTGCCCAGTGTCGCCTGTCTGAGTGCTTCCCAAGGTTGGCTTCCACGAAGCTGCCCAGAAGATGATGGCGGAGTATTCTGGCGAGCACAAGGTTGGCTGGAACACCATCGCAGTCGCGATGAAGGCTACAGGGGCGGTGCTTGGCTCCGGACCTGCTGCCCTGTGGCGTTTTTTTTGGTGCAGGACATGATCAAGAAAATCACCGACATGAAGTTCGAGATGCCCCGCCAGTCCGAGGCCACATCAGATGCTTAGTATGACTCTTTTCACATCTCGCATGCAGCGTGCCATATGCATCCGTCAGCGGTTCTTTTGTCACAGTGTCGTGCTGGGAGTGCTGGTGTGGTTGTCAACTGATGGTTTGTTTTGCAGCCCGTGCAGGAGCACTACAAGCGCACCTTCGTGGCTCTGCACGACGAGGTGCTTGCTGCCTTCAGAACGCTGGCCGAGGACAAGTAAGGCGGGCAGCAACGTCGGTCCTGGCATCTCCACTACAGACACTGTATGCGAGAACCAGTGTGCGCTTTGCAATGCCGTTGAAGACACTCGTAGTCTGCTGTTCCGACTTCATGTTGACCCTCCAGCTGTGCAGGTGAATTTCGGCGTCAGAGGAGGTTTGTGCTCATCCACTTGGAGCCAAATGGGCTTCGCAAGGTAACAGCTGCACGGATGCCATTTGATTCTATGGTTTCACAGAGTGCTACAAACTCATCAGTATCATCGCAACTGTGTCGTTCGGATTCCGCGATGCAGCTACGTTATTTTGTCAATGCTGGAAGAGGACTTTCCGACCAGGTTTTGTTTTGCCCCCGCAGGCTCTTAGACACAGACCTGTGAGATTGATTTCTGGAGCCGATTCTGGGAGCACATCGCGGGTGCCAGAATCGAAGCGTTTCCATGGTAGGTCAGAGCACAGGTAGACACACACACACACACGCAGACACTTACGATGCTTAAGATAGAATAGACATGCATCGTCGCTGTTTAGACTTAGCCCCTTCAATGGTGATGCCTGTCCACCAGAGATGGGTGCTGAGCTAGTCTGGCGCACCTGTCCACAGTCAGCATGACTGGGTGGCAGATGGAGCGCCCGTTGAACCAACTGTTTTGTCTTAAAACAACAGGCTACGCTGTGTGAATCTTTGTGATTGCCCTTTTGCACGCATGCCGCCAAACTCAGTGCATCTTGCTTGATCCGGACGGGTTGCACTGCAAGGTGCTGGCAACCAGACGGTGCTTCGTTCCCGCCCCAGCGACTGCTAAGACGCCAGGGAACCACTCAAGTGGGATGTTGATGGATTAGTGGAATACCACGGAGATCCCGTAGAGTGAACTTGTGGGGCCACGTAGCAGGTCTTCGCTCCAGCGCCTGCTCCTCCACAGACAGCACCTGCCGGATTTCGCCTGGCACAACAGGCGTTTCGCTGCCAGAGCCGAAGATAAGAAAGGGTGCCAGGAACTCTGGGGTCGGGGCCGAAATAATTGCCAATACTATTTTAGGGGTTCCTTATCATAACTTTTGTATAATGTGTCCCAAAACCTTATTCTAATTATTAAGACTCCTTTTTTGGGCCTTCCTTGTCCAGGGCAGGTAGGGATTCGGCCAGGGGACCAGACCGGAATGCAAGAGCTAGCGGCTAGCGGCCACTACTGGTGCCAGCTCACACATAAAGCTTGCTAGCCCCCGAGTCCTCAACTTGGTATTTAGGTCTCTGCACCGAGGTCAGTGTCAGGGCCAAAGTCTTTCGGTACAGGACTTGCTGATGCGACAGCAAACCTGAACTTGGGTAAGGATGGCTGGCAATTACACCCAATGATAGGCGTTCCGGACGTTCGCCAGCTCACCCCTATGTTCTAGCCCTGTCCTGCAAAGTGTTTGCCCGCTTCTGAGCCGCTCCAGTCGATTTTGCGAAGCTTTGCTTCTCTCGATTACACGTTTCAAGGATGCGATGTGCTGTGTCCTTTCTGCTGCACGCAGGTGTCGCACACGGTTGTGCTTCGACTCGATGCCGAGTTGCAGGACCGACGCTCAAGAGTGACAACGCTGGGTTGGTCGCCGATCCATCATATGCTCATCACTCGTTTGTTTCCAGCTAATTAAAAGTTTTGAATGTCGACACATGTCGACCAAGCGAGGGAGACTTTGCACGCATGCACGAATGCAATGACTAGCATCGAAGCTGAGTGTGGTGCAGGCATTCTCGTTGCTGCGATTGGGGCATGCAGGACGCCAGAACTTGTGCTGCAACACATTGAGCAATGAGGCGTAGAAACAGAAGGATGTCATGTGATCTCGCAAAGTGTTGCAGGTAGTGAAGACATGTGAAGACGGTATTCTCCGCGGCAGGAGCAATCTTGGAGCAATACTGGCACTTCCAGTGTTGGATGGTGCTACATCGTCTGCTCTCCGTGGTAATGCAACTCAGCAAAGATTAGGAGCTACAGTTAAATAACATTTTCGCTGCACACGAAAGTATCCAGATATTGCTTAAAAAGTGCTTGCAGCAGTAGTTGCTGACTCCTGCATCTAGAACCTTGCGCTTGTCGCAGCCGGGGTTTACTTCTCCTCAGGAATGCTTGCGATCTGACAAGGTCTATACTGACAACGTTCCTCGCAATCCTTTGGCGGCGCGGCCAAACTGGAGCTGTTGTCTGGCGGCTGCCCGAGCTGACAGGCCCTCGCTCCTCCCAGTTTCGCAGCCCAGCACTGCGCTGGCCGCATGTACAAGACCGGAGCTTGCTAGATGATGTGGGCTTGTTCCCAACGGCACGTACGTCGAAGTCGCAAGTCAACGACTAGCGGCCTCTCTTGCAGGAGCCATTCGGCCGCATCTGGCCTGGCATCCAGACGCGGCTTGCCTGGCCTCGGTATCGCCTGCAGGGCACGTGGCCGTGCACAGTGCAGTCCTCAATCCCTGATGTGCCCATGAGTTGGAGCTGGGACAGCTGTTCATTTGATGAAGGTCTCGTCGGCGAGTCAACAGAGCACCTTCACGTTCAAGGAGCTGCTTGAACCAAGAAGAGAGCTGAAGGCAGGCAGAATGCACGTATGTACCGCTCTCCGGCTGCCAAGGATGGTGCGTGGCCCGTGGTTGCAGTTGCCTGGCAGCCCTGCGACCTCAGCAGCTTAGCTGCCTCCCGGCCGAGATCTGGCAATTGTCTGCAAACATTTGCTTCCGTCTTGATCTCCATGCCTCGCTGCACACCATATCACAGTGTGGGTAGCGACCCGGACTTGGCGGCAAAGCCGCCGTACCGCATAGCCTGAGACCCCGAATCGAACCCACGTCTTTCTCCCTCGCTCTTCCTTTGTCGAAAACCTAAACTCTTAACTCGCAGCCTTAAGTTTCTGCAGGTGATTGCAAACTTGACGGCCAAAGGCAGCACCAACCATGGTTTTCTTGCTGTCATGATCGTGCCAGAGACAAGGTGGCCGGACCTCTGGGTCTCTGCTTCTGGCGTCGAAAAGGCAGCTGGCAACGGATATGGTCGCTGCAGGGGGAGGTCCAGCGGGTGAAGATGTTTGCCATGCGATCTTTAGGCCAGACAGGGCAAGTTTGTTAAGGCCTTCGCCTCCTCCGCCCTGGCTTGGTCTCCTGACGGTCGAGCTTTGGCTGCCGCCGGCCCACTCGGTGTTGTAGCACCCCAAGCCCTCAGACCGGCGCAGGATTGAATTCTGCTGTGCTTTCTGTGACAAGCGTTGACGTTGTAGTTCTGAGGTTCATATACTTGGACCTCACAGCGCACTGATCGGTGAGCAGGCGAGCGGCGCCAAGCTTCAATGTGTCATTGGTTTTCGTCTTCCCTGCGATCACGTTTGTTGAGTCTGTGTCAGCAAGTGAACCTAGTCTGGTGCAAGCAAACACTTCCGAATTCGCCTGTTTTTCACAGGCACACTTCGATATCCTGCGGCATCGCTGTGTTGAAAGTAGTCTAGTCTAAGCAGGCTTCCTCTTCGGAAGTAACATCGTGGCACATGACATATGCAAGAAATAGCCACGCCTAATTTGCATTGGGAGACCTTGGTGGCGTGTCAATGTGATTTCGGAGGTGGTTCCTAGCCAGTTCACGCGCTTGCAGCGATGGTGCAGCGGAGGCAACTTCTTGTCACATTGTGACCTGCAAGCGTGGATACGGCAGGCAGAAGTTAAATTGAAGCAGCTATCGTCTCCGAAAAGAGCAGTGGAAGTGTGACAATGCCATCTCACGGTGGAGTTCTTTCAGGTCTGGCAAAGTGCCTCGCATGGTCCCCGGATGGTGCCCTGCTTGCAGCCTTGGGCCCAGATTGCCCCAGTTGCCAGTGCCGTTCTACAGCTCCCTGGGCCTGGGCCTCTGTCTAAATGCTAGGGAGTATTCGGGAGACCCCTTAAAGGGGAACCCTTCTTAACCACTCTTTTGGCTCCCTTAAAAGGGACCTTACTGAGAGGTTCTATGTCCCCAACGGTCCCCCTAATCCCACCTCCCACTAAAGGTTCTGCACCTCCAAGAAGACACGGAGCCCTCCGTGCGGCTTTGGAGCACTCGAAGCTGGGAGGTGCTAGCCCGAAGCAGAGACTTTGAGGTGACAATTAAGTAGAATTTAGCAAGTCGCAAACAAACAGAAATAAGACTCTTAGTTTCGTTGACGAAATAAAAGTTTTGGCCGTCTATTTGTTTACTGTTGTTATTTCAACGGGTTGGCCAAATGTACATATGCGGTATATATGCATATACACACATACATACATACATACATACGTACGTACGTATGTACATACATACATACATACATACATACATACATACATACAGAAATATATATATATATATATAAGTAGATATGTGTACTACTATGTAGGAATCACAGTATGTGTGAACTTATGTATACCATAATTTGCCGACGACTGTACAACATGCTTAATCTGATAAAAAATAGTGTGATATCACAATAATAATACTGTACTAGTATGTGCTTTTAACTAATAATTCTAGCAGTACAGCATTGTGTTTTCGACTTCCAGACACTGGCCTGATGCCAGGTGGCAGCCGTAGTCGGCCTGGGCGCACTGCGGCCGTCAGGCTCTGAACTAGGCCAGCTGCTTTCGAGCAATGCGGGCGCACACACATAACAAAAGAAAATACAGCATAGTATAACACACACTAGAAACAGAACAGAATATCGAATAATACAACAGTGTGTATCATAGCATCAAAAAGTAATGTTTATCATGCAGTGCGTAATATGTACTGTTCTGCATAAGTACAACGCTGTGTACCTCAGAACAAAAGCATGCAATGTGCCATATGTAGCATATCGGTGGAAAGCATAGTCAATAGCAGGTGATTGCGAACCTACACTTCAAAATTGCAATACAAGATATGGACACAATTTGGTGTGAGATGTGTATGTATAGATGTATTGAAAGCCGCTTTGATCTGTTTGTGTATATATGTACAATACCATTATGCAGTACAATTTATAGCAAAAGGCAAATATCATGTAGAATAGAATATATGGCAGGTACTATATTTTAGTATAAAACAGCAAGTGTATAATACACATCATGTAAATAAACAAACAAACAATATATATATATATATATATATGTATACATATACTGTACATATTATTTCTCATATCGTAAATGAGATCCGAGGTGTGTCACTGGCGTGGATGAGCTCCGAGCTGCTGCTCGCCACTGCGTCCCTTCACCTCGTTGAAATTGCAGTCCGAGGCCAGCATGGGCCCTGCAATGAGCCTCCCAGAAGCCTTCGACAGAAGGGTAAAAGTCCAGGCGGCACTGCATCGAACATCGGCGCTGCTCGCCTTGGCGAGGCCATATGGGCCTGCAAACTCACACCTTGTTTCCCTGGTAGTTTGCAGGACACTTCAGGCTTCTTTGCAGCCGGCTCCGAGCCGGGCGTCCGCGTCGTATCACTTCCCGGCCAGGCGAGTGCAGTGCAGGCAGCACCGCTGAGCAGTGCCTCTCTGCCCGGTTCAGGAAGCACGGAGAGTGCTTGAAGTGAGCGTCTGCCCGCGATCAGCACAACGGCTGGCTGTTCGCCTTGAAGGTTGCAGAGAGGCGCCAAGGGTCGACAGCCATCGTGTTTCGGAGCGCACGCTGCTTCATGACAGGTGCTGGTGTATGAGCGCCCGACTTGTGGTTTGGCTGGCTGGTCTCATCGAGAGCAGCTCGGCCTGTGATGGCGGGTGGCGGCAAGACTCGACGACAAACTACTTGTTCCAGCAGAGGGCTTTGCCAGATCAGTCACCTATGGGAGTGACCTCAGGCTGAGCCCCTGTGGCATCCTGGCCGCCGAGGGTGCAGCACCTGCTACTCTTGCCTTCGCAGCACATGCAGTGCAGCGAAGCGGATCAGAAGGTGAGAGATGCAGCGGAAGCACATTTGGAAAGAAGCCGATGTCCCATCGGCTGATCTTGATCCCTAGCTCTACTTGTAGCAGGTTCGCTGCTGGCCGTCTACTGGTGTTTGGACAACGGACAGCATGAGGCAGAAGCGAGGTTGAAGCATTTGGGGATGACAAGCGGAACAGGGTGATTGTCAAGCAGTTTGCCGAAGGCCATTTATTTCTGAGTGTGGGTGCAGGTGCGAACCTACCCCATGCACTTCATCCCGGCGCAGGTCTTGCAGACCAGCACGGTCGGTTCCTGAGCGACGCCCGTCTTCCACAAACCCCTTGTTCTAAATGCTTTGCTAATCGCACATCTCTCAAGTGCGCTCGGTTCTCCCTACCTATCACCCTTCGCATGGTGCAAACATCATCCGACGCAAGCGGCAGGGAAGTAAGGCAAAGCTTTCGGTCCAGGATTTGGAATTGCCGTGCGAAAAACTCAGGCCTTTTGCGAAACGGCGAGCGTAATTAGATAACAACACAGATGGTGGGTGACAGTCAACCAGAGTCAGCCACATCCAATGCTGAGTTCCATCTCCAATTCCGGAGCACTTCTGACCTTTAGAAGTTTTGGCCACCACGCGTCAGTATCAAGGCCGCAAACGCCCTCTTCTGAGAGCCTGCGCCCCGCTGCTTGAAGATAGAAGCTGCCGGGAAATGAGACATCTCAGTGCTTGATGCCATGTACGGTTCAGGGGTTGTTGATTCAAAGGTTGAGGGTCTCCTACGAGTTTTTGTATTATTACTACTACTGCTACAGCTACTCTGGGTGCTGCTGTCGGGCATTTCTATTTTCTGGTGGGTGTGTGGGGTTCATGGTCATCAATATCATTCGTATCTTAAACTCATTCGTATCTTAAGCAGCCTTGAGGCTCGAGTGTCAGATTGGCTGGTCAGTGGCAATTCCAGCCAGGTAGTTCTTGTATCATGCAGAAAGACACGAGCCATCTGCCGCTGCCTTGGTTCGCAGCCTTTGCCGTGCGACACAGACAGGAGCTGCAGGAAAGACTGCAAAGCCAATGCGGAAAAGCACGTAAATAAGAAGCATGCTTCCGCAGATGTACCTGAATGCATGGAACAAAACACGCCGGTTGTGTAGCTGCTGATGGCATGGCTGCAGTGGCTTCTGAGCAGGACGAGGACATCCTGCAGAAGCCCGGCGCATGAAAGTTGATAAATGCCAATGCACTCTCCACCGGAGGAGGATACCTTTTTGGCAGTCTTTCCAGATTCCTCGAAGCTTGATGCCTGCGCCCGAGCACGTGTCCCTCAAGAGAGACACTGGGGAGAGCTAGGAATCTAGGGAGCCAATGTGCAGTTCAGGCCTATGGTATGGCTTTAGACGACATTGGGGTCTTCGAGGCGGCTGGCTTCCAGCGAGACCGCGCCTGAGGGAGATGGCTCTTCTGCTGCCTTGACAGAGGCTTCTTGACAACAATGCCATTCTTACGATTGAATGCTCCAAGGATCAAGTTGGCATGCTGGCCACATATGGTTTCGTTGACTTTCCAGGTGTGCGCACCTTGCTGCGAGGCCAGGCGTAGCCAATGTCTGCTTTGTTGACTTTGTTCTACATGATCGGCAAGTCTGTTTGAACATCTGCGAGTTCATGCCTTTCATCACTGGTCCACGTGCTGCAAGACGCCGTGTCCAGGCATAGCCGAGCGCTTGCGTCCAGGTTGTGTCGACCTTCGGCAGGTTGGACTTCGCAACCGGCTGTCCAAGAGGAGTCACGGAACCTGGGCCGTGCGACAAGGCTTTGGCCGGAATGCGCTTCCTGGATCTGGGCCTGGAGCTCTGTAGTTCTCTGGAGCCTTGCCATAATGAGACTGCGAAGCCATCTGGTGGCTGTTCCGTCCTTGTCAAGACACTGGACCTGCTGCAACCTCACTTGTAGAAAAGGGCTATGACGACAGCGCAGGGGGAACACGAAAGCCATCACAGATTTTGTATGATTTTGTACTTTGACGATCTTTGACGTCTTGGACTTCATCACGCAATGCAGCATCGCTATTTCTGAATGATCTTCGAGTTATCGTTTATTCGTCTCGAGGATCTGGGTTGGCATCGGATGCAGGATTGCGAAGTTTTTCAGCATGCTCCTGCACTCGCAAACTTGTCCCAGGTTCTGGTGATGGCCGTGCAGTCATTGGTGCCGCTGTTTTGGCACGCCCTCAGCTGGGACAGATGCGCCCTCAGGATTGCCCTAGCGCATGCCAGGCACCGACGTTGGTAGAGTCTTCCGGCGTCGAACTCTCTCTGCTGAGCCCCTAGAGTCCTAGAGCTACTCGCATGACCGAATCGTATTGTGCTTTGTGCATTTCCGAGATCCCGCCACGAGCTGGCTGTCCGAAACAGGTTGGCAGCATGCTGCAGACTAGTGGCCCCGATTAGCATGGCTTGGCCGGGACCGGACCGAGCATTGCCCGCAAGGTGCCGACTCCCTCAAGGGATCCAAGACATTGTGCAGTTTCAGCAGATCGACATTTTGCAGGCTTGCTTAATCTCTCTGCGTCTGCATTCTACCAGCCTTCGCATTTCAATATGACTTGATCGGAGGGTTGGCGCCAGGGATGCGTGCGGGCTTTTCACCAAGCGGCCCTGTTGACACGGTGGAGTGTTGGCGCACTTGGCTGAAAGAAGGGTGGCTTGGTTGGGCCGGATATCTGCAGCGTTCTTATGTGGAATACTCTGCGTTCTGTAAGAGACTGCCTGCTCACATTCCTGTCAAAAGCATGGGCAGACCTGCGTTGAAGGCTGAATGGTCGGAGAGTGTTCCAGACTGACATGCATGCTGACCTGGGATGAAAGAAACACGTTGCGCCCTTCGCCGACATTAGTGTGGGGAGTGTGCGTGAGTTCTGCATTGAAGACTGATCGGTCGGAGAATGTTGCTTACTATATACCCTACATTACATGCTGACCTGTGATGAAAGAAACACGTTGCGCCCTTCGCCGACATTCGTGTGGGGAGTATATGCGTGAGTTCTGCATTCAAGACTGATCGGTCGGAGAATGTTGCAAATTGACATGAATGCAGTGAGTTCTGCAATTCTGAGCTCCGCTTCTTGTGGAGTCCTGCTTGATACGTCCATGGCTGAGATGAAATGCACACGCTGCGCCCTTTCCGACCTGCAATTTTGCAAGTTATGGGGAGCATGAAGTGAGTTCTGCAATTCTGAGCTCCGCTTCTTGTGGAGTCCTGCTTGGTCAGTGAAGCTAGGATGAAATGCACACGCTGCGCCCTTTCCGACCTGCAATTTTGCAAGTTATGGGGAGCATGAAGTGAGTTCTGCAATTCTGAGCTCTGCTTCTTGTGGGAATCTTGCTTGATCAGTGAAGGCTTCGCGGATACGTCC